CTCTTGGCCCGTCGACCGAGGGAACCGGCGGTCATGTTGCTGGTGGCCGCTGGTCCGGCGTCTGGGGGACGGCGGGATGGATGTAATGTGCTCTGCGTAAACCCTGTCCCGCCGTCTCAATAGCTCCGACTGGGTTTCCGCCCGGTCCGGGGTAGGGCGCCGGCTGTGAGCGGCAGGAGTTTTTAGTGAGGTTCGACTCCCACATACCCCACCTGCCGTGCGGGTGGGGATCCGGCGATTTTCTTCTGTGGTAAAAATAAAAAAAGCCTCTTAACACAAATGTATTTAATAAAGATTCGGGCTTAGACCGGGGACCGACCTTATCAGACAACCCAGCTTGTGTGTCCCTAGCACCCAAGTGGCTACCGGAGCTCACAGACTTCAACAATGTAAATGCCGCCACCGACTTTGAGATACGAGTTAGAAGTTTACAGTACAGCTTCTGCCTCACTCTTCAAACCGAAACGCATACTGCTTTGCTGCTGAAATAGGCAGGGTGGTGGTACCTACCCTTGTGATCTTATAATCTACCTACGCTATACACTGGTATCATACTCAGTGAACGCTGCTGATAATTGTGCAGTGGACCCTTTAGTCTACTTTACGATAACCAAGGAAAAATGTGTCTTGAAACGCATACTGCTTCGCTGCTGAAATAGGCAGGGTGGTGGTACCTACCCTTGTGATCTTATAATCTACCTACGCTATACACTTGTATCATACTCAGTGAACGCTGCTGATAATTGTGCAGTGGACCCTTTAGTCTACTTTACGATAACCAAGGAAAAATGTGTCTTGTGGCCACATAAAATTTATAAATTTAATGGGTGGTGGTAAAAATACCTGTTGCTATTACTGGTGGTAGGACCTCTTGTGAGTCCGCGCGGGTAGGTACCACCGCCCTGCCTATTTCTGCCGTGAAGCAGTAATGCGTTTCGGTTTGAAGGGTAGGGCAGCCGTTGTAACTATACTGAGATCTTAGAACTTATATCTCAAGGTGAGTGGCGCATTTAAATGTCTATGAGCTCCAGTAACCACTTAACACCAGGTGGGCTGTGAGCACGTCCACACATCTAAGCAATAAAAAATAAAATAAAATAAATTGCAGCATTACGGGCCTATACCAACATCCTGGTTAATTCTGTACTGATATGTTCCGGTTTGAATTGTCCCTACACTGAGGTCGAATTCACCTTAGTCTTTGTTATCGTTTATTGACGTACCTCCATAAGGTACGGATCATGAATCACACAGAGTCACTTAGCAACACTAAGTAGGTTGTTAGAAGGTGTAATTTCTTACAGAAAGGAAAAAAACATTTTATTGATAACTTTTAAATGAATTAAAGCTAACCTCGTATTCTTGTTAACACCTACTAGTTGCATCAATGATTTCAATGGCGACGAACTGTGAGTTTAATGCAAATGTATTTGTGTGTCCATTAGTAAAACAATCGGTTCTCATAAAACAGATTGCCGTGAACAATTACGCTTTGTTAACTATATAGTATGATTTTGCATAATAATACGTATTTTATAAATACATAATAACGCACTGTTGAAATCTTCTTTGGAACGGAACAATTGGTAGTTATTTGTAAGCGATACCGTTACTGGATGTTAATTACAAATGTTACAGAAACATTGCGGTTTTAGTAAGCGGTAAAATGCGTGGTTCTTATACGGGACGTGACGTAGGCATGCATACCTATGTATAGAACAGAGCTGTTCAACTTTTTGAATGACGACAGGTCAAATGGTACTCTTAGGTATCACAAGCACCGGTCACCGTTTTAGTCGAATCCGTCGCTTGCGACGAAGGGCTCGATGAGTGAATTAACCCATAGACACAGCCCACTGAGTTTCTCAGCGGATCTTCTCAGTGGGTCGCGTTTCCGATCCGCTGGTAAATTCTGCGAAGCACTGCTCTTGCTAGGGTCAGTGTTAGCAACACTTCCGGTTTGAGCCCCGTGAGCTCACCTACACGATAGGGTGAAGCTGAAATAGCCTCTCAAAGAAAAAAAGAAAAAAAATAGGTCAAACGGACGATGGAGACCTTTTTGACTAGCCACTAATGGTTCCTATGCTAGTAAGATTTATGAAATAAAAAATGCAATATAACAAACAAACAAAAAACATTTTGATAATTAAAATAAAACAAAAGACATTTTAAGCCAAATAAAGAAAGAAAATTGCATGTTTATTAAATTGAAATCTAAGGTAGATGATTAGATCGTCGATAAAATGTCATTACTACTAAAGATAAAGTAAGGTTTATTATTGGAACATTGGAAGTAATGAGTTTGGTCGTTTACCTACCATACACAATCTTATCGAACGTCTTAGAACAAAAATCATTTAGCAGAACGAACGGTTTTAGCTTATTTAATTTATAATGAATGTTGAAGTGTGACTACTAAAACAACCTCCGAATAACTGTAACATTTCTTATTGTATGAAATAGGCACTTGTTTTGTATGTTTTCCTAGTTGTTTTATTGTAAAATATTACATTTCGCACCCAATGACACTTTTTTGGAATCCAATGGGGAATTTATGGGGAATTTATTTACGGTTAGGTACCCGGTCGAAGGGGGTAACGAACCGGGTTATGTCGGACTCCGGCACCTCCAGAGAGGAAGAGGGAGACGAGGAGGGCCAAGGTAAAAGGATTTTATCTTGCGTTATGTGCGGATTATGTTATGGACTCATGAAACAAGAGTCGGAAACACCAACTTCTATACTAACGAAGACATTGGAAAATATTGTAAATTAATTTCTTTGGTCGAAGTTTCGTTACATCTGCGTAGGTAATACTTATTGTTTTTGGTATCTTAAGTGGTTACCCTTTGTCATTACTAATCAACATTATTTTTTTTTGGGATATGGCGTGTCTGGGCGTGTCGCCAACGCTGGTACGGATAGCCATCGACACTTCGATTATCTGATGCATAGACTTCATGTCTTAAGGTGGGCTGCAAAATTACTGTTTATTGTCGATCTGAATACAGTGCGACAAGGGTCGTAAGCGTAGCCTAGGTCACGAAAAATTCATTCTACTTTCGAACGATGAGGATTCTGTTTGAATTAAAACTGTTGTCTCTTAAACTTCACTAAATTAATACGCGCTTACGAATATATTATGAAGGAACAAAACCCAAGCAAAATTCTCATTAAACGATTTGGTAAATAAAATAAAACTTCCTAATTTATTTTCCATATAAGCTTAAATCGCGAGCAAACAATAGGACAACTTGAATGACATCATAATACGGAATAATAATATTGTGTCTTCTGTTGAACAGCGCTCAAGCGGTTCGGGATTATGACAAGAACGTTTTTTTCCCTTTGATTTGCGCAGTGAATATACTTTATCTTTATTCTATATAATAATATATTCTATACATGACTAGAGTCTTTTGACTTACGAATTGCTTTAGTTTCTATTGTGAATTAATTGCGATTGTTCAACAATAGACGTGCCCTTGACACTATAACTATGAGATAACCGTCCAATGCGTACATATCGTTTTAAAATACATCGTTGAATTTTTTATCGATTTTTTACGGTTTCGTGCCATTAACATAGATGAAATTCGATTTAAATCTTAGGTGACCTAAAAATAAGCTGTAAGTGAAAATGAGATTCATAATTTAAAATTTTGTAATAGAAAGGTATTTTACTATAAAAATAATATTAAGATATAAAATGAAGTAGTCAAACGCACATATTTCTGTTTCTAAATATGGTATTATTACATTAATAGAACATATTTTACAGGGTTTCGATAGAACTGGCATATGGCAGGGTCTTACTGTCGTCATATATATATTAAAAATGAGAAGTCATATTTTTGCTTTGACACCAAACACATATCTTAGGATAAAGTTTTTACATAACACACGGAACATCATCATCATTTAGCGGAAGTGCATTTCCAAAAATCATTTTTGCATGTATCATCCGGCCTTAGCATGAACTCAATTGAACTCCCCTCCTGTTATGAAACAATCAGTTTTGATTCTTCAAATATTAAATAAAACTCAGTGAACCCGCTACCATAAACACTATTTATATAATACCTGACTGCTTGTGATTTGTTATCACTGAATAGATTCCAAGGTCAGGGTCATTTCATAAACACGTCACCAATCGACAGTTTTATCAAGATTGCATAGCTCTGGCGCATGATGATGTACTTTAATTAATTCATTGATAAATCATGTTTATTTATCATATTATGTGGATATGAAGAAAAGCGTTAGCAATTTTACTTCACAATTTTTTCTGTACTGAGAAATTTATAACAATGGGTTATGTTTATTGGTTCGAAAACCTTGTCAGTTTAAACCGTGAACTGATTCAACTAAACGAATAATGAATTGGTATTTATAACTGTTGTGAAAACGTTTAATTTCGATTCGGGTTTGTAATTGTTTTTCGTATTGATCCCGATATCGCCTTCTCGCATTAAAACTGTATAATCTCAAAACTTACTAATTTTACAGGAGAGTGTTTTAACATGTGATATTTTTAATATTAAGTAATCACCTTCGCAAATTTTTATTTATTTTACCAGTTACATTATTTGTCTTTTAAAGTAAGATAAAATTATGTATTAATTTTGTTAATAGTTGTCAAAACATAGGCAAACAAAACCACCACCCCGCCTATTTCCGCCGTGAAGCAGTAATGCGTTTCGGTTCGAAGGGTGGGGTAGCCGTTGTAACTATACTGAGACCTTAGAGCTTATATCTCGAGGTGGGTGGCGCATTTAAGTTGTAGATGTCTATGGGCTCCAGTAACCACTTAACACCAGGTGGGCTGTGAGCTCGTCCATCCAAGCAATAAAAAAAAAAAAACTATGCTCTTTTGACAGTATTTATGAGAAAAATACTGGTGATACCAAATGATTCCGCGTATCGAATATTTTTGGAAACTGGACACTTTTAATGCGAAAAGACGACATCGCACTAAAGTTTTGATTTAATATTTTTTCAGTTTTCGACGAGATCTCTGGAGCCGTCTTTCGGTCTCCTATTCAAAGACTTGTTGGATGACCTTGGGGTCCGCACAACGGGTGCGTCCTTCATCGCTAGTACTTTGGACTCTGTAGTAAATTTCTCCGGCTTCTTCGTTGGTCCCGTTATAAAGACGTTCTCATACAGAAAAGTTTGTTTCGTCGGTTCAACGATATGTGCCCTCGGATTACTGTTCACCGCCCCGGCGAAGAGTATCGGCCATATATTGGCGACTTACAGCATTTTGGGAGGTGAGCTATTTTTTTACACAGAATATTTAGTATTAGAGAACCGAATAAAATGGAAGTTGATGGTACAAAGAGCCACGAAGACCTTTCAAGGACACGACCTTGAGCAATAAAGTATGCGACTAAGAAAATTTAGTACATATTTAAATAACATGCTATTCTTTATTAACATGTAGGACATAAATTGCTGAATATTTGATTTGTAAGTTACTAGCGACCCGCCCGTCGCTTCGCTTCGGAAACTGTAATTTAGTATTGATTTCTCCACTATTTAATGGATATTACATATAAACCTTTCTCTTTAATCACTCCTATCTATTAAAATAAACCGCATCAAAATCCGTTGCATAGTTTTAATGATTTAAGCATACATAGGGATATAGGAACAGAGAAAGCGACTTTGTTTTATACTATGTAGTGATAATTAAACAAGATACACCGAATGATAGGCGTCAGAGATTGCCTGTTTTGCATCAATGGAAATTGTTATAATACAGTACATACAAAAATATAATTAGGATTTTACACGAAGCAAATTTGTAAATGGCCGCGAGCGTTTGTTGCTTCAATAAAATTAAATAAACATAATACCATGTACGCTCTAGGAATAGTTTTCAGCGCTAGTAGTTCCCGCGTTTGAAACTGATTGACATCCAGCCCAAACATTGTTTGGCTACGTGTTCGGAGCTGCGGGATAAATTGAAACATTTACAATTAATTGTTTTATTACTCGTAAAACAGATAGGCCGTAAAATTCTTGAGTGTTCGCTCACAACACCGAGGAAACATATATATATATTTTCTGATAACGAAAAACGAGAACACGCAACGACTTTAACTTTTTCTTTTTTGTTTTGAGTTTGCATTTGTTTATCGTTAATTTTATTTGCTACGTTGTAATAGTCTTTAAGTTTAAATAAAATTTTGTTTAGTTAAAACATAACTATCATACTGTTCAAGATATTTTACTGTTGGTAGGACCTCTTGTGAGTCCGCGCGGGTAGGTACCACCACCCTGCCTATTTCTGCCGTGAAGTAGTAATGCGTTTCGATTTGAAGGGTGTGGCAGCCGTTGAAACTATACTCGAGGCCTTAGAACTTATATCTCAAAGCGGGTGGCGCATTTACGTTGTAGATGTCTATGTGCTCCAGTAACCACTTAACACCAGGTGGGCTGTGAGCTCGTCCACCCATCTAAGTAATAAAAAATAAAATAAAAAAGATACAGAAAATTATTTAAAAAACTGAAGTATTGTTTGTTAAAACATTAGAGATATGTATTATATACGTGTACATAATTTAGGATTGTTTTTACGTAAAATCCTGTGCGTATAGCGTAATATAATTTAGTAAAATAAAATATCGACTTAGTGACATTTTACGTATTCACTCATTACTAACGCTTTACATTCTGAATTCTCGTTTTGACACGACTTGATAATTTCTTGGTCATTGTGTTGGCTTGTTTCTAGTTCAATGACTAAATATAGAATCTACAGTCCAATATTAACTAGGAATGTTGTTAACAAACTAGCGTGGTGCAAATACTTTAGAAATGTAATTCTTTTTAAACATGCTAGTCATGAAATGTTTATAATAAATGAAAACAGACTCAAAAACTACCGAACAGACCTTGTTCAAACTTAAATGCGATCATACGTTCGAGCCACCGGCTTTCAAATGAAAATAAATTATTTCGCTATGAAAAGAGTTTTGAGGTATCTATCACTCATTGAAATAAACAGTCGGATTGAAAACCTCCTTTTATGAGGTCGGCTAAAAACGATTTGTTTTCTGTGTGATAAGCTTATGGATCTTACGTTGTTCTGCCTTTTGCTAGCAAGTATTTTCATTTCTTAACGAGATATCAGGGTGGGAATTTATGTTAAATTTGTTGTTATAAATTTGTTTTTTTTTGTGTTTACAGGGTTTGGCGTAGGTCTAGCCTCGTCTTCTTCTTTTGTCTCCCTCAATCACTATTTCTCCAAGAAGCGAGGACAGGCCGTGGGTTTGTCCATGGCGGGAACCGGGTTCGGTTTGATGGTGATGCCACAACTAGTCAAATTACTACTGGGAGAGTACGGGTTCAGATGGACCGTAGTGATACTTGGGGCCCTGGCGTTTAACGCTGTAGTAGGATCATGTCTCCTTCAACCAATCAAAAGGCATCTAAAGGAAGTACCCGTGGACGCGGAAATGCAAAACATTAAAGTAAGTTTTATACTAAGGTGTTTCAATTACAAAGTAGGAAAAGCAAGACAAGTAGAAAGTAATTTCAATATTGACTGTAAATTTATCACAACTGGGGAGAGAGAAATACAATAGTGAATGACCTACTACAATATGAAATTACTGGTGGTAGGACCTCTTGTGAGTCCGCGCGGGTAGGTACCACCGCCCTGCCTATTTCTGCCGTGTAGCAGTAATTCGTTTCGGTTTGAAGGGTAGGGAAGCCGTTGTAACTACACTGAGATTTTAGAACTTATATCTGAAGTTAGGTGACGCGTTTACGTTGTAGATGTCTATGGGCTCCAGTAACCACTTAACACCATGTGGGCTGTGAGCTCGTCCATCCATCTAAGCAATAAATAAATAAAAACCTAATACGAAATTAAATGCGAGTTAATCGATAAACGACTTTCCGTTTTAGGAGATGGAATGCATTATGGAAAGCGACGAAGAAAACGAAGATAAATTCGAGATCAATCCTCTCGTCACGCATCCGATGCCGAAACTAACAACGCAGCGTTCCCACTCTAACATGAATCATCCTTCGGTTCGCACGATAGGGATGCCCCGCGCTAAGACCTGCGATAAACCGTTACAAGATTTTGAGAAGAACTCGAAGGTGTACCCGGGGCTCACCACCGCGGCCTCTGTGGGCGTGATGCCGAGAGTGACATCTAGCGGCAGCATGAACGAAGCGGCGCGCAGAAGGAAAGTCTCCGTCATCTCCAACATATCAAACATGGACTTCACGGGCAGCTATCTACAGCTCTATCTCGATGTAGGTGATGCATTTTAATTATTTCTGCCGTGAAGCAGTAATCCGTTTCGGTTTGAAGGGTGGGGCAGCCGTTGTAACTATACTTGAGACTTTAGAACTCGTATCTCAAGGTGGGTGGCGCTAGATGTCTATGGGTTCCAGTTACCACTTAACACCCGGTGGGCTGGGAGATCGTCCAACCATCAAAGCAATATATAAAAAAAAAAAAAAATATTTATATAATATATCAATGTCCTAAGTTTCATTTGAACCATTTACTTCGGGTACCCTAGAATATTTTTACCTTCGAACCAGTACTTCGAAGGCGAGTTGTCAATGGCCATTATTATTACCAATATACCAATATACCAACATACCAACATACCTTGTATTGTTAATGAATAGTATAAACTTACGTAATTTTCATGAAACCGTGTTCACATTCGTTTTCGCCTTTGATGGTTTTAATTAGCACGAGATGACGAATAAGCAATGTTTTATGCTAATGACTTCAAAACTATAATATTTCCTTTGGTTTTCACGAGTCGTTGACGTAAATAAAATTATTGTTTTTACGTATCGGTCGATAATTTTTTTTATACAATTGGACGGTAGTTAGGACAATATTCAAATGTTGATGAATTGCAGCTTGTTCATTCGTAACCACGAAAACTGTAAAGTATTTCAAACTTTGAAACGACAATAAAATAAAATAATAAATACGACATTAAACCGTAACTTTGTTTTTAAATATGTAAAAATAAATTAAAACGCTATTTAGACTACCTAAAGATTTAAAATTGCATGCGTTATATATTTCTTCTCGTTGTCACGAGTTTCTTATTCACGTGATAAACGTTTTTCGTAACACTCAGGGGAAATAAAAAAATAAGTTTATTTCTTATGCTGTTTCATGAATATTCAATATTGTATCATAATGAAACTTGGTTTAAGGAAAATGATAGTTCTCTGAAAATATCGTTTATGAAGTATGCTTCTTAGCTTTGAAACTTCATCCATTCTAATATATGTATGTATATTTGAATAAAGCGAACAGTAGTTGCCAAAAAAGGAAGGGAGGATGGATTTAAAATAATTTCTCAATTTGAGGCTCGTATGATAGTAATACATTTCATTAAATTCAATAGTGTGGGTAGGTACGTGTTGTATTTGTTTTAAGCAGCGTTGTGGGTTCGAAGAAAATTCACTATCGATTGCCGTTCGAAGCTTACAAATGTTACGCCGCAATGTATATGACTTGATTAGGCTTTTTATAAACGAGTATAAAAGACGGTCTTTTAAAGACTTAATTTACGATTTCGTCGAACTCTAACCCGATTTATATTACGCTTGTAATTCCAGACAGCAGACGAAGAAGCGATACAAATGAAGACAATAAAAAAAGCCGAGCCCGTATCGGAAAAGAAGGGCTTCATTAGACGATTCATAGATCTGATGGATTTAGATTTGCTAAAGGACTGGTCCTTTCTGAACCTAATCCTAGGACTGGCTCTGTTTTGGAGCGGCGAGTTGCAGTTCAGGATGTTGACCCCGTTCTTTATAAGCAATTTAGGTTACAACATGGACGACACGGCGTTCTGTCTGTCGATGACCGCGATCTCCGATAACCTGGTGCGGCTGATCCTACCACCGATTTTCGACAGAACCACGATATCGAAGAAATTGATATTTTTTATATCCTCGTTTTTCTTGGCCGCCACTAGATCAGGTAAGAATTGGGGTTACTCGATCCTGAGTATGTTTTTATTTGTAACAAAAACGAATAGGTACGTCACGAGCGCATGTCGCGAGGTGCGTTCGCTAAATATATTTTGATGTCCCATAAAAGATTCGGCTATGAAAATTACGAACGAATAAAAGATGAAAGTCTGTTTACATAACAATATCTAAAGTTTTTAGATTTAATACTAGACAGAGAGAGAACTATAGCTACTTATGACGTCAACACTAACTTTATAGAAAGAGAACATAACATATCATTATTTCCAACGATAAAAACTTTAACACTAATATTACCGATCTTTATAAATTGATTTAAACTATTTATTTAGTATTCCGATATATTACCTAATTGTAATAGTTTTTCACTAAATAAATTCGTTTTCGTAAATGCCACATCAGTCTTAAGCGAAACGCGTGCGTGAGAATATTAATTGAAAATTAATGTTATCGTTAACAACGTTTCTAATTGGTGCCCGTTAATAGTAATTATAAAGCACTTTTAGTGCTGGTCTGGTGGACAGTTCGTTGCTGTGAATTCAGTCATGTAATANTTACCTAATTGTAATAGTTTTTCACTAAATAAATTCGTTTTCGTAAATGCCACATCAGTCTTAAGCGAAACGCGTGCGTGAGAATATTAATTGAAAATTAATGTTATCGTTAACAACGTTTCTAATTGGTGCCCGTTAATAGTAATTATAAAGCACTTTTAGTGCTGGTCTGGTGGACAGTTCGTTGCTGTGAATTCAGTCATGTAATAAAATCAAACCCGCAAAATTATAATTTGCGTAATTACTGGTGGTAGGACCTCTTGTGAGTCCGGACGGGTAGGTACCACCGCTCTGCCTATTTCTGCCGTGAAGCAGTAATGCGTTTCGGTTTGAAGGGTGGGGCAGCCGTTGTAACTATATTGAGACCTTAGAACTTATATCTCAAGGTGGGTGGCGCATTTACGTTGTAGATGTCTATGGGTTTCAGTAACCACTTAACACCAGGTGGACTGTGAGCTCGTCCACCCATCTAAGCAATAAAAAAAGGTTTTAATTGTACATTTCATCAATGTTTATTCATATTGTATTAAATATAACTAAAGATAATAATTCTATTCGCCCGTAAATGTCGATGACCGTATGTCTGGAGGGTAGCATTAGCGGTATTTGTGCCAAACCTCTGTTTTTTTCTCCTGTTAGCCTATTAATAGTAAGGGGCTATTCCAGCTACGCCCGGACGACTAGGTGAGCTCACGGATTCAATCTGAGAGAATTTGCTAAAATTGCCCTAGCAAGAGCAGTGCTTCGCAGAATCTATGACCGGTTCGGAAATGCGACCGCGTGATTGATTCTTCTGGAAAGATCAGGCGAGAAACTCAGTGGGGCACTAAAGGCGGCCCCTAAACAAGCGATTTATCAAGTGACAAAATAAATATGAGACTTGAATCTCCGATCTCTGGGTTACATTAACTACTTAGTATTGGGTCGCCCTGGGTCACCCTGTGTTGGTCGAGAAGCAGTCATGCCTTCCGTTTTCAAGCTTGTAAGACTTGGTCCGCAAGTTAGTTGGACCACTTTCGTCTCAAGACTATCGAGTCTAATCCTAAGACTAAGAATTTAAAACGTATTTTAATTTCAGTACTAGCCGAGCAAACTGAATGGGTGTCGCTGATGATATGGCTGTCTATATGCGGCTTCTTCCGTGGGATGTGTCTCAGCAACTTCACCCTAACGATATCCGAGTACTGTCCTCTGGAGAAGCTGCCCGCCGCCTTCGGACTGCACATGGTCAGCAAGGGTGTGCTCGTCGTATTGATCGGGCCAATGATTGGTGAGGACAAGTTTTGATTATAACACAACACTACAAAAATAATTTCGTTTTTTGTCCTAACGTTTATACTAGGTTTTTCCGGTTAATTATTCACAAAAAACGAAAACAAAATACCTTTTTTTGGTAAAAAGTTTGCTTTTGTGATAGTTATAGTAATAACTCATTTTTTTTTTTTTATAAATTTTATTTAATTTTTATAATTTCAAAAAATTAAATAAAATTTAATTTCTATTTTATAGTTGGATTTTCTACAATAGCGTATTTTGTTAGTTTTTTGAATTTACATTAAATAATTTGTAACGAAAATTTTACGGTTTAAACCATTAAAAAACAAAGATAAAAGATAAATGTTATTTATTTACGAAAAGATAACAACTTATTAACAGTAACAATATAATTACAATTTAACCTATATACATTGTATCTATGGATTTTAGTGGTAATGTGTTTTTATTTTAATTTCGTAATTTTTTTATTGCTTAGCTTGGTGGACGAGCTCACGGCCCACCTGGTGTTAAGTGGTTACCAGAGCCCATAGACATCTACAACGTAAAGCCGCCACCCACCTTGAGACATGAGATGAATCTAGTGTGACCCCTGGAAGTCTCTAGAATAGCTAGAAAAAAAACAGTGTCACCCATTTCGTAGTAATAGGGTGTCAGCTTGAAGTGCCATTAACAATTGAAAGTTTGACCTCATGTTTCGAGGGTTACGTTTTGATGTCTATGGGCCGCATGTTAATCATTTAACACAAGACGGCCGAGTCTATTGCTCATTTACAGCAAGAGAAAAACCGAAAGAAAAGCATTTACCGTATGAACAAATATTAAAGTTATTCTCCAAGCTCGTATGTTTAGAAGGAAACTACTGGGCGTTTAAAATTAACATTAATATTTATTGTCATTATTATTAGGGAGTCCAACACTCATGTAAATATTAGCCTATCCATTAAGGACATGTCTTTTCTACATGGATACCAAGTTTCAAGTCAATCGGATGCATGGTTCATTAGTTATAACGGAACATCCGTAAAAACCACTGTAGATTTATATATTAGTATAGATTATTGAAGTTAATATATTGTTCTCTTTCAGGATACGTAAGAGATTACACGGGCAGTTTCGCTCTATGCATTCACGTGCAAAACGCAATGATAATGTCCTGCGTTTTAGTTTGGGGCATCGAATACGTTGTAATGTTAACGAGACGCAGGAAGATCGTCCAAATATAATAAATAACCTGTTTTATGTTTATTAGTTAAAATGTAAACGCAACGGGTGATGTTCTGTGAGTATTTCATGTAGACACGCGCTTCGGGACGATAGACGAAGTACGTAGATTGAGAAGAACGTAGTCTTATTATATTTTTGATTTTGATAACCTTTAATATTGTTCGTCGTTAACTGTTTTTCGAAAAGAAATAATTTTTATTAAGGGTATTTTTGCTGAGAAACTGCGAAAGGAAATTGTTAGCGAACTATTAATACAAGCGGAGATTCTTCCATGATATAACATTAAAAATTGTTATTTTTACCCGCAATATATGCTGGGGCTACATTAGCGGATGAAGATTCGTGTCGCGTTGGCGCGCTAAAAACATCGGTGTACGGGCATACGTAGTGTTCTCGTCTACATTACGCCGGCTAAGATTCGTGTCGCATTGACGCGATGCATCATTTATTCATTACTGGTGGTAGGACCTCTTGTTAGTCCGCACGGGTAGATACCCTGCCTATTTCTGTCGTGAAGCAGTAACTCGTTTCGGTTTGAAGGGTGGGGCGCCGTTGTAACGATACTGAGATTTTAGAACTTATACCTCAAGGTGGTTGGCGTAATTACGTTGTAGATGTTTATGGGCTCCAGTTTACAATTTAACAAACAGGTGGGCTGTGAGCTCGTCCACCCATCTAAGCAATAAATTAAAAAAAAATCGTTGCGGGTTGTGTTGTGGTGTGCGACAGAGACGTAATTTAAATACAATTGAATGAATTGTAACATTTTTTCACACACTCCACGGTGTACAAGAAAACAAGCACGTTCGTACCGCATCAAAGTCTGGACAACACTGAAGTGACGTAGGTGTAGCGAATACTATCGCGACAAATCCCTTTGATATGCGCCAGTTTACCGACAGTGCCTCGATAGTACATCGTCGTTGCAAGAATACTACGCGTTGCAACGATCTACTTAGTCCCACTCATCGCGATAACACAAATATTCGCGGTGACCCGCTAATGTAGCCCCAGCTTTAGAGATGAATGACGCACGGGGTCAGCGACCTCTGTAATTAGCGAACTGTCTGTGATTAGTTCCGACAAATGTGTTCTTGTTGAGTTAGTTAATTCGGAAATTAATAATCCGTTGCGTTAATATAAATTTGAGTCGTTCAATGAATGTACAAATAGGGTTTTTAGTATTATCTAAACGATTTGAAGTTTGCCAAATTTAATGTTATAATACCGTACCCGTGAAATGTAAGTTGTTTGTGTAGTATATGCACTAAATGTACTCTGTTTGCTCGCGTGTGTGATCGTAATCATAGAAAATGTTTGATCATGCTCAAGATAAACACGAAATAACAAAAAAACATTTCTCTTGATATTCAAACAATGGGTAAAATCTAAGTACACTTACATTCGTGTATTTTTTAGGAGTGTGTAAAATTTATTTTGACAAATTGTTTCAGCGTTCTCGTAAGACTGAAAATCGTTATTCTTTCTAATTTAAATATTTACCGAAAACAACAATTAATATTAGTAATCTATTAATCAATCAACTTTACTACAACTTATACTTTACAACTTATATTATTTGATTTATTCTAACGATTTATTCTATACATTATTTTTTTTCATAAATTTAAACTATTCGAATGTGACCAGTGAATTAAAATGTGAAACGCTCTTTTCGTAAGAGAATTGTAATGTAAAACTTTTAGACTTTTTAACAATTAATATTTTTAGACGTCTGTAGTTTCGAGAGGTTTTATAGATATTTTAGATGACATTAATTTATAAAAACATTATGTGCTAAATAGTTTAGAATTTAGTAGATTAACGATAGTTTGACATTGTATTCGTGTTCAGAATTTATTAGCCGATGTTTACTATGGAACATCAGTTAGGTTAATGACAATTTCGCTCAATAATTATGACATTGACAAGTAAACTAAAAAGTTTGACGACTTAAATACTCGATTTTATTCGATGCATTATGTAGATATCAGCAGCTGTTTCAAGTTATACTAGTAAGCTATACTCTGATTTATAATAATATTTTGATAGAACCATGACAGTTTATTCAATATGAAAATCGTGGAAAATGGTACAAAACGAGACGTCAATAGGGAACTGGATATCTTTAATTTTTTTTAAATGGCCACGTATTCTTCTAAACTAGACTGAATGCATATCTTTTACGAGTGACGTCATTTGGGGGTAATGTAACAACAACAAAAAATAACTATGTAACCCAATTTATAAACTAAAATACAATAGCCACATGCGACATCAGCAGGGAAATTTGTAGCCAATATTTATAGTAGTTTGACATTAGAATTATTGATATTCCATAAGATTATTATTTGTTACTTAATTAATATATCCTTTATACATGCTTTTTATATTGTACTATTATTAGAGTACGTTTGTCGATTCTATAAATTGGCAACTTGTGTTATTTCGATATATATAAACAGTTATTTTTGTCAGTTTTATTTGTTTGTTTTTGTTGGTTGTATGTGTAAAAATAATGGACACATGTGATGTAATAATTGAAGAAACAGATTCAGTTTTGTTAAATACAATTCAGGCAGTTTTGTTATCACATTTAACAAGGTAATCAATATTTCACGTTAAATAAATATTGATTGAATTGATGTAAGGTACTGTGGAAATGCCTTTAAGAAAATGTCCACGTAAAATTAGCTTTCGAATTTAAGACGTACATAAAATGTATTGCGCTTCCACTAAATGTATTGTAATGTGATTGCCTAATATTATAAAGCTAATTTTCCTTTTGTCGTTGACATAATATGTATACATTATGCCAGAAGCAATGAATGTTATTTGAAAAGTTTGTATACAAAGCTCGGTACTTTTTCTGGGAAAGGGATTGCTTAGAATATAATTGAAGACATGAGGGGATGAAGGGGATATGATACAATTTTTTGATTTTTAAGAAAACGGGCAACAAACTTTAGTTAATTATACTTTTTCTTTGTAAATAACTCCTTCATCACTTGCAATTTTTTAAAATAGCCATCAAACCCGGAGTTTTAAGGTCTAATATGGTTTATATGCGCATAACACCGTCATTTAATGTAAAAACTGAAAAATCTTAAAAATTTTACTTAACCCCTTCATCCACTCATGTCTTCAATTATATATTGTACGTTGCTTGAAATTAGATTCCAAAAGGCTAGTTGCGGTTTGACTGTAATCATCATTGCTGATGGATTTTTTTAATCGCCACTACGAAAGGGTAGATGAGCAAACGGCTCAAGTGGTGGTAAGCAGTGACCGGCACTCGCGGAAATCCTTGCTACATTTTTTAAGGACAGCTTTAAAAATGTCATATCGTCGCTGTCAAACCAAAATCTGCTATATGCAAAAACTCTATTTTGAATTAACGAGTAAAAACATTTTCGTATAAAATTTTATATGAATGTGAATTTTTAAGAACTATATCAAATGAGAGCTATAGATAAATATTAGTCGTCGTGGCCTAACGGATAAGACGTCCGGTGCACTCGTGTTGAGCGATGCACCGGTGTTCGAATCTCAGGCGGGTACCAATTTTTCTAATGAAATACATATGTACTAAACAAATGTTCATGATTGACTTCCACGGTGAAGGAATAACATCGTGTAATAAAAATGAAACCCGCAAAATTATAATTTGCGTAATTACTGGTGGTAGGACCTCTTGTGAGTCCGCGCGGGTAGGTACCACCACACTGCCTATTTCTGCCGTGAAGCAGTAATGCGTTTCGGTTTGAAGGTTGGGGCAGCCGTTGTAACTAAACTTGAGACATTAGAACTTATATCTCAAGGTGCGTGGCGCATTTACGTTGTGGATGTCTATGGGCTCCAGTAACCACTTAACACCAGGTGGGCTGTGAGCTCGTCCACATACCCAAGCAATAAAAAAAAAATTAAAGCCATAACCACATAACAGCTTTTTTATGCGGTAGATAGGGCTGTGAACTATACGAAAAGGTCACAAAAAGTAAAAATCTCAAAAAGTGCATATATAGCTGATTTTGGTTTGACGATATCCTGAATTGTCAATGACGTTTTGTATTCTATTATTAATGATTTGGTCTTCCAGAAATGTTTAGCGTAATCGTCTTCACTTATCGTGTATACGTATTTACATGTACTTTACTTCCAGCAATGCTTTCGATGTGCGATTTAAATGACCAAATAATAATAACGTACTTAATTGTATCACGTATGTATAATATCTTAAATACGTATGTATATAAATTATATTATATTTAATATATCTCCCGTTTACTATATGAATGAAGACTTCTGTGACATTCGTGGAAGTTAAACGCGTCGTGAAAATTGAAATTGGTAGGTAATTAATACGAAGTAAAAAAAAAGTTATATTATTATTATATTATGTACTTTTTACGATCAGATCGGAGATAGGTAGCTATCAAAATTTTAGGCAGCGGCTTGGCTCTGCCCTTGGCATTGCTGAAGTCCATGGGCGACGGTAACCACTCACCATCAGGTGGGCCGTATGCTCGTCTGCCTAGAAAGGCAATAAAAAAAAAATTAAAAAGTACGAAACAAAAAAAAAAAGCGATTTAATCGAATGCAATTCAACCATTTAAATATCGATGACTATTAGTTGTTTACAAATATATCGATGATCAAAAAATCGTGTTTCAGCATTGATTAAATTATCGATAATCATTGAACTGTGTCATGACACTTCTGATTTGGAACGGTAGGCAATGAATACGAAGTAAAAAAAAGGTAATATAATTATTAAATTACTTTGCACGATCAGATCGGAGATAGGTAGCTATTAAAAGTACGAAAGAAAAAAAAAGCGATTTAATCGAATGTAATTCAACCATTTAAATATCGATGACTATTAGTTGTTTACAAATATATCGATGATCAAAAAATCGTGTTTCAGCATTGATTAAATTATTATCGATAATCATTGAACTGTGTCATGACACTTCTGATTTGGAACGGTAGGCAATGAATACGAAGTAAAAAAAAGGTAATATAATTATTAAATTACTTTGCACGATCAGATCGGAGATAGGTAGCTATTAAAAGTACGAAACAAAAAAAAAGCGATTAAATCGAATGTAATTCAACCATTTAAATATCGATGACT